CAGAATAAAACAGAATATAGAACAGGAGGTAGAATAGAAGAACAGAATAGAATAGAATGTACAATAGAATAGAATAGAATAACAGGATAGAATAGAAAGAATATCGGACAGAATGTAGAATAGGATAGAATAATAAAATAGAATGTAGAACAGAAGAACAGAATAGAACAGAATATAGAACAGAAAGTAGAATAGAATAGAGCAGAATAGAATAATAGGTCGCTTTCTAAAGTGCCGTTGCAACTTCGGTCACTAAACAGATAGTCGTTTAAGTCGAGCATTATCTGTAAATGGAACTGGGGAGGGGAAAAAAGAATTGGGAGGCAATTGTCGGGTTTTGACATGTTTCTTCCAATTAAGCAGTGAATAATCAGACATACCAGGGATTTTCAGACCGTTCCTGCTCTCCAGCATCAGAATGCTTGTTTACCAGCTTGCATGTACTTTCTTCTGTTCTGGGGTGGGGGGAGGCAATTTATTCTGCGCGCAGCACATAATCAGATTACATGAGCTAAACGGCCTTCATTTTCCCTCCTGTTAAAAGGAGATGAAAACCAACTCAGCCTGGATCCTGAACTCTGGACCGAAACGAATCTAGATCAGATTGACACCTCCGACGTGGCCGAGCCAACTTGGCAAGCCCTGTAGGCTTCTCTGCCTCATATGGAAGATTTATCGATTCTGTGCTGGAGAGATGGGACTTTGCGGGAGTTCAGCCCTTCCAGGGCTCCAGAGGGGAGATAAAGAGTGGGGTTCCCCCCTCCCCCCCCCATTGCTGGTTTGCCTGGCTGCCATCTCGGCTGGGCTCTGGAGACCAAGCTAGCCTTTAACTCCAAGGCAGAGAAAATAAACCTGCATGGAACACAAGGTGGTTTGTTATTGGTGGACCGGGGGTTTGACTCCGCCAGGGTTTTGAATCTCATCAAAGGCAGCCAGCCACGGTTGGGGATGATGGGGTTTGGAATCTGAAGGGGCTTAGGTTTGAAGGGGGGGAGGAAGGAAGGAAAGGAAGAAGGAAAAAAAGAGAAAAGGAGGAAGGAGGGAAGGAGAAGGAGGAAGAGGAAGAAAGAAGCAAGGAGGAAAAAGGAGAGAGAGGAATGAGAAAAGGAGGAAGGAAGGGAAGGAAGAGGTAGAAATGGAGCAGGAACAGGAAGAAGGGGAAGAAAAGAAAGAAGGGGAAGGAAGAGGAAGTGGAAAGAGAAGGGAAGGTACAAAAGAAGGGAAAGGGGAAGAGGAAGATGGAGGGAGAAAGAGGAAATGAAGAGAAAGAAGGAAAGGAGAAAGAAGAGGAAGAGACATGGAAAAAGCCCACCCTCTCCCCATTTTCCCACCCTCTCAAATCCTCAATCCATCAGCCAAATCTATAACTAGCCAACTTAGAAAAGACACACACCCCCAGGGCGGAAAGAAAGGAAAGAAGACAAGTCTGTTGTCGTTTTTTTCTTCTCTTTTTCTTTGCCTTTTATTTAAATTTTTTTTTTTTTAATAGACTAAGAGGAAGTATATGAAAACCACGAGCCAAAGTTCTCGGGGGGAAGAAACCCAAATCAAACCCAAACCCAAAAGTTCAGAGAGAGAGAAAAATAAGAACAATAATAATAATAATAATAAAACCAACCGACGCATGTACAGGTAGAGAGAAATCTTCTTCTTTTTTTTCAACCCCCTCCCTCCCCCGTTTCTTTTTTCTTCTTCTTTTGACCCCCCCATGGATTTGGCCGGCCCTTTTTTTTAACCACCGGGGACCCCCCCC